TATGTTTTGTACTAACAAGTACCTACTAACTACTGCTGCCATCCTAGCCAAGAGATTTAAACATCTATATTATATATTATTGTATTTATTTCTATTCGTTTTTCTCTCTTTTTTCCTCTTTTCTAGATCGCCAATCGATCGGTTTATATATATATATACAAGGAGACCATTTATGTTTTGTACAAAGAGTCCTCTAACTACTGCTGCCATCCTAGCCAAGAGATTTAAAACATCTATACTATATATTATGTATTTATTTCATTGTTTTTTCTCTCTTTTTTTTTCCTCTTTTTTCAGATCGCCAATCCGGATCGGGTTTGGTGGGTGGGCGATCCACCTCACCAATCTATTTTTTTTTAACACTGCTTTTTGCTATGCAAATGTCTTGGATCTGAGTCATGCATTTCATTACCTTCAGTAGACACTCTAGTTAAATGAAGGAATATATGTGGTATTTATCAACCCCCACAAATCTCTTCAATATCATAGAGCAGTCTGATTTTAAGTCTCAATTGATATCTTAAACCATGGCATCAGCAACCCTTGATAGAACAACTTGCATACTAATGCAGGACTATATTGATAGCATGGAGGGAGCAACCCTTTCAGGAAGACAAGCTGCGTCTTATATATGTAGTTCTGGGGAAGAGCTAGCTTCCCTAAGAAAGAAGATAGCCCAAGGTACAGCAGTAGGTGCAAAGATTGAGCCGTGTATAGCATAATGGCAATTTTTACCATGGTTTTGATTCTTGTAATACGGGAAGAATTGTTTTTGTTCTTCCTAGTTAAATATGTCCAATTTGTATGTAATTTAAAGATCTTGTATTAAACAAATAGAAATTTCACTCCTTTTCCACTCAAATCATGTGTAAGCTGGTCCAATATCGAGCAGTGTATTGGATGTGAAGAGATAATTGCTCCACCTCTTATCAAATTTCCTTTCCCATTCCCTTGTTACTTTCGACTGTTAAAAGGATAATACTCTTAGTTCTTTCACTTTCTCCAAGGGTGACTTCTTTGAATTACTTATATTGCTATTTCTTGATGCAAATAAAAATTTAGCAAGTGCGCATAGATTAAGTGGGGCGTGAGTTTTAGTAGGATTGTGGATATGGTTGATTTTAATATTGGACAAAGGGATTTACGTTTATCTAGAGATTTATAGGAGACTTAGATAGAGATGGATTATATGGGGAAATTTTGGTGCGTGAGTATTTAGGAAAATAAGGAGGAGAGAGAAAATAGAGAGAGATGTGACACGTCAGGTAAAGAGAGAAAATAGGGGAAGTATGTATTTTGTTTAGAGATAGGCTTTATTTTATGGGAAAGGTTTTTATACTTCCTTTACAGCATAGAAGATCTATGTTTCTTTCACCATCCATCCGTCCAATTTTTATCAAGAGAGTCACTTACCATCCATCCGTTCAATTTTTATCAAGAGTCGCTTATCGTTTGATCTTAGATCTGACGTCTCAAAGTATTTTATTTTTAGTTTTTTTTATACAAATTATATGAATATGAAATTTGGTACGTGTCATCTTCTCATTGGGGTGAATCTATAAAAATATTAAAAATAATTTTTCGATAAAATATAATGGCCAAAATGCCTTTTGAAATTTTTAGGGGGTATTTTGGTCATTTTATTTTATGAGATTTTTTTTTTTTTTTTTTTTTCCGTAGCACGAGTTTAATAGAGGATTGGATGTCCAAATTTTGGTATCAAAATAATTTATAGAAAAAAAATTAAAAATAAAATAGTCTAAACACATGACATTGTGATTGGATCAATCTTAGCCTTCCATTTAGGGTGGACAGTTAGACAAGGGAAATTATATAATTTTTATGCTCAAGAGGAAGCATAGAATGCTTGTCCTTATTTTATTTAGGTTTTTTTAATTAATTATTTATTTTATTTGAATTGTATTTAAAAGGAAGAGATCCCTGATTGTAAACAGATTAGAGAACGATCAGATAATGAGAATTGAATAAAGTTCATTATAAGATCGTTTTGGGGTGGATTTCATTGCAAACTTTGAGAGAGGGTTTATTTTCTCATACGTTATTATTATTATTATTATTTTGGTTGTTATTTTTCTCCTTGCATCATTTCTACAGCCAGTAAATCAACACATACATATGAATTTTATTTATTTCTTCCATTGTTATTATTTTAGTTAATTTTGTACTGATACATATGAATTTTATTTATTTCTTCCATTGCTATTATTTTAGTTAATTTTGTACTAATACATATGAATTTTATTTATTTCTTCCATTGCTATTATTTTAGTTAATTTAGTACTGATACATATGAATTTTATTTATTTCTTCCATTGCTATTATTTTAGTTAATTTTGCAATACAAATATAGATTAATGAATGAAAGCTTCATATTGATACAATATTAAACCCTTAATGGACTAATGCCATTTCAAACATTTTAATCATCATCTTACTAGGGGGTATCAAATCGCATCTTGTTGTGAGGAAAACCTGGGAGGCATGTTTGGCCTAAGCAATCTCTCTCTCTCTCTCATTACATTTTTCAACTTCGAAATTGGTTCCTAAAATACCGTGACCTCCAAAGTTCTCCTAACTTACTGGAGTTCCTTCGTGTCATAATTTTTTTCTTGAAAATTGATGAAAGGATTATTTTCCTTATGGTTTCATGGAAATATCATCCAGTTTGAAGGCCCAACAGAAGCCAAACGCAAATTGATGAAAGAATTATTTTTCTTATGGTTTCATGGAAATATCATCCAGTTTGATATCTTCTTTTCATTTAAATGCCAAAGCTTTAGTCGTCCGATGGTCGGTTTACCGGATAAGGATAACTTAACAAAAAAAACCCCCAAGAGAAGAAGGGTGACGCCCGTAATTTAAGAACAACATGTTCTCATAATTGGTCTGTAAGTAATGTTCTCTGACTTGGTTGCAGCCTCTAGGCCATTAGATTTGAGCGGCACATATTTGATTGAAGTCAACAAGAGCAACCAGGAACCTAAAGCCCCGGTTATTTATACTTTTGAATAAAGATTTTTATTTTTAAAAGTCGTCTTCTTTTTGTTATAATATTCTCTTTTTCTTGAAGCCTCCATCTCTCTCTTTCCTAATTTCATCCATTTTTCCACAACAAACTTACAAAATCAGACTTCATTCTTTGAAGGGGAAATTACTAAAAAACTCCAAGATCACACTTTTTTTGCAACTTACCTCCGATTTTAGTTTTTCTCACTTTTTTCGTTTTTTTTAAAAATACACTTTCTATGCATCTACTCATAAGGAAAAAAGTTCATTTTTTTAGACAGAAATGCCCTTTATGTACACATAAATTAATTTGGCCAGATTTGTCATTAACTTTCGAAGCTCATTGACGAAGCGAACCACCACAGTGTCGGAGCGCATGATCCACTGGTGGAGCGCATATACATAGTGCTGGAGCGTTGTGACCCCAGATTACACTGTCGGAGCGCACTTACACAGTGTCGGAGCGTTGTGACTCCAGAGTGTTGCACTGTTGAAGCGCACTTACATAGTGCCGAAGCGCATCATCTACTATCGGAGCACACATACATAGTGTCAGAGCATTGTGATTCCATATTCCACTGCTAGAGCCTACTTACTGAGTATCGAAACGCATGATCCACTATCGGAGCAAACATAGTGCATAGTGACGGAGCGCATCATCTACTGTCGGAGCACACATACATAGTGTCAGAGCATTGTGATTCCATATTCCACTGCTAGAGCCTACTTACTGAGTATCGAAACGCATGATCCACTATCGGAGCAAACATAGTGCCCGAGATGCATGGACATGAGAAAAATAAATAAATTTTAAATTTGAAAATAATGCATCTTGTAGCGTATTTTTTTAATAATCAATTTTCAAGTTTCCATAAACCTGCTTGACACTATTTTCAAAGCTTTAAATTTTATAATTAAATATAAAAATAGATTTTAAAGCTATGACGAAGATTTTCGTATTGAAACCATATTTCTCAACACTATTGTATTGAAACCATATTTCTCAGCACTATTTGAAGGTGAGCTTTACTTTTGATGGTTGAGCCTCATCTTTATACAAACTGCACCCCTCATTATATACCTTTGGGAGGAGTTTTTTCTCTCTCACGAATATCAACGGCGTTCATCTCTCTCACACAAAAACATTAAAGACACTCTCTTTCTATGAGGGTCAATGCAGCTCGCCCAGTTCGTTGGCTCGGCCCAGGTGCTGGGCTAGCTAAGGTGGCTACATCTTAATGGTGGGGCCGGATTGGGTGTAGGCGAGGGCCGGTGCCGTAGGCAGAGTTTTTGGATTATATTTGGCCGTCAGCGAGCCCAGTAGGAACTTTAATGGCGCTAGGGCAGCCAACGGTGAACGTTTGTATGGCCTCGTCGAACTCCTCTATCTACGAAAAAGAAAATGAAAAAGTGAATAGAGTTTTGGAGCATACTGTTCATTTACTTTCTAGCCTAAAATCTTGTCTACCCGTATGTATCTTACTCCAAATTTTGCGGATGTAACCTTTTCAACTTATAAGCTAACTTCAATAAAAAAAATTTCCTCTTTGTAGGCCTGAAAAAAAAAAAAAAAAAAAAAGAAGAAAGAAAGAAGAATAAGAATAAGAAGAAGAAGAACAAAAAAAACTTTAGATTGAATGGAGACCATTCGATTTTAAAATTATGAGATTTAAATATTGGGTGAGGTTTGCATAGAGCAGAGGCTCTAAACAATCAAAGTAAAGTGCACCTTCAAATAGTATCGAGAAATGTGATTTCAGTATTGAAAATCATTGTGATAGCACTAAAATATATTTTCAACTTTAATTATAAAATTTAAAGTGTAAAAAATAGTGTAGATCGAGCATATCTGTGCAAAATCTTGAAAATTGACAGTCAAAAAATACATTACAAGATGCACTATTTTTAAATCTTAAAATCCATTTTTTTCTCACATCAATACATCTTGATGTCGAGATGATCAATTTGAGGGTATTAGGCATCACAACATCTTCTAGTGAAACTTTGAGGTGGGCTTTAATTTGATTGTTTAAAGCCTCGGCTCTATATAAACTTTTCCCTCATAATAGAGAACTCAAAATCTAAAAATTTTAATTTAAAAATAGGGATTTCTTGATTCCATATCTGAAAAGGTTAAATATACTACCCACGATAGGTGTAAGGGTGCCCTTTCAGAGTTCGATATTTCACAAGGCGATATCTAATGGGCCAAAATTAATTTTATATTTTAATTTTTAGCTTTTATTTAAATAAAATATTAAATTGAATTTTGGGGTATATATTTGTTTTTTAAAGATAACTAGATAAAAATAATTCAAACTATTTGAATAAAAAATTCCAAAATACTCCTAAACTTATTTTAATCAATATTATTTATTCAAAATAATATTTACTATTTTAATTTAATTTTGACTTAAAAATAATTCTCAAACTCAAAATTCAAATTAATACCATTTTTATATAAAAAATAAAAAATAAAATAAAACTCAATTTTAGCCCGAGGTTGATTCAATCTTAACTAGAGGAGGAAATGGACCAAGACCTGACCCTGGACCCATCGGGTACATCCAACACGGGGCTGGGTATGGGTCCAACATTTGGACCCCACGGGTTGGGTTCGGGTCCAAAATCTGGACCCGAACACTATTTAGGTCCGGGTATGGGTCCAACATTTGGACTCGGCAAGTTGGGTTTAGGTCCAAAATCTGGACCTAAATACTTTTTAGATCCGGGTCTGGTTGGATCCAACCCATACCCATAAATTATTGGAGATAAAATAATTCAAGCCCTATTCATTTAGGTGTATTAATGATTACATACAGTAAGAACCCGTAGTCATCTTTAGCTATTAAACAATAAATCAGATACCTTTAAATCTAATGGTGGGTGATTATGATCTTGTTGCCAACAATATGGATATAGATGGTAAAAAAAAAAGCAAAAAAAATAAGCTTATAGTCAGGGTGACAATGGACCCGATCTGTAAGGTTCTCATGAACCTCTAACTTGCAGAACCAGGAATCCCAAACATCGGGATCCCATCCAAGATCATGTACATGATTGACTAAATGCAAAGTAGATGCATACAACTATAAATCGAGTGCGAGAAATAAAGTAAATATAAAAAACACACCACAACAATACACGATTAAAGTGGTTCACCCTGTAAGGCTACATTCACGGCCTTGACAACTAGAAATCCACTGTTAAAATAAAGATTAAAATTTTGGGTTACAAACGATAATACCTATCTCTAAACATTGGTAAAAGACTGTCACACCCCGAGATGTGACAGACAAAACATATATACATCTATTGATAGGACAAATTTACAGTGGCAAGGTCTTACAAAGTAACAAAAAAAAGTTTAAGCAAAACTACAATATCTTCCCAAAGTTGATCTTGACGAGGACACAAATGAAACCGCAGTTATCTTGAAAAATGTTTACCATAGTTTGATGAGTTTGGCTACTCAGTAAGTGATCATCATAATCCTAAAAATAATCATGATTGAAAGATATCAATATTTTCCAAAATGAGATCTATTAACAGAAATGCATCAACAGTTTCACTTTCAATAAATACATAATTAAGTATAATCCGAGTAATTGAAATGCTTATAACACTTTTAACGGCAGTACATAATTCATAGGATTTCACAAAATAC